CTTTTTGACCAATGCTATATATATATATATATATATATATATATATATATATATATATATATATATAATTAAACAGATAATAATAAATTCGAGGCTTGTCTAAACCTCAACTCTGAGTTTTATCATTTATTTATTTATTTATTTATTTATTTATTTATTTATTTATTTATTTATTGGATTGTGTATAAATGCTCCGCATAGTAGAGCTCTCTGGATATGACACATTTATATATATTATGTCCAATGGGATTTTGAAGTCACGCACTGCAAATGTTACTATGTGAAAAAAGAAAAAAAAACAGCAAAATAGCATAAAATCAAGAAAATGTCAAGCATTTGCACCAGTCTGTACAAGTATCAAGGGCCGTGTTGCACAAGTGAAACAGTTTTTAGCAGCAGTTTCAACACATTTAACAGTGTCAGAAGTGTTTAAACACATTCCTGTGGACCATATATTACATTTTATGGGATGTTATTTCACCTGAACAGGCCATTGAAGCAGCACAGTAGCTCATTAAAGGTTTAATTAGCTTATTTAGTCCGTATGGCCGTTTAAAATCAAATTGATTGCGTCTATTATGTTTTAACTGCCAGTAGGTAGTGCTAACATAAAACGAGTAAATTCCAGCCTGTGGGAGATGTTTCATCTTACAAGGGTTGAATTGGCTCTACTGAGAACTTAACATGAAATTTTCCAGAATGCTCAGCATTTTATAAGCATTTAGTTGATTCTTCTCTGTATAAAAATAACCTATATGTACATAATAACCAATTGTCCGGGGTCGTATTCTCAAAAAGTTATAATTAACTCATACGTGCAACTGCCCGATGGTAAAAATAATGACATCAACTGCATCGCCCCCTTCCCCCCTTATTGTGCCTTCCCCGCGTTCTGCCTGGGTTTTAAAGTGTTGGGCTTCAAAACAGGAATTTGAAAAAAAAATTAATGGACCCTTTTCCACGTTTTTTATCTAATGTGCATGCGTACAGCCTGCAACAAAGTCCATTTAGGTTGAAGGCAGTTGTCAATTTACGAGAGAACGCACAAGATATAGTCACTTACAAATCTTCGAGAATATCAACATACGCAACCAGTCGGAATTTCGTGAAAAGTTGCTAGAAAACGTTACTGCAAGTGACAACCTTTACAGAACACCGCCCAGGATTAACACTATAGTGTACAGGTAAAGAATGATTGTGAAGAGACCCCTTCAAAATGTCGATGCCTTTGATTGATATCTAGATCGGTAAGTTCAAAATATACGCTTTTCAAGCCAATCCATGAAATAGGGTCCAACTACGAAAAGAACCCGTTGCATCTTATTTTCAGTAATAAAAATGGTATAACAGGGGCGGATTTAGGCCGTCTTCTGGGTCTTCCGGAAGACGGTCAGATTTTCAAGTTTACATTGACGGGTATCAAATTTTTCCGTCGGAAGACGGTCAAAAATGGAGGATAGATCAACAAAGATAATTTGGAAGACTGTCAGAATATATATCTGGCCCCTGTAAAAGTGCTATATGTATACTTTGTGAAAAGAATGTCGAAATCAGCGGCACACATTCTTTCAATTGTGGAGGATCAATATTAAGGGTGTTGATAATGGCTGCAATCTCAAAGTGCACACCCATAGGGATTTAGTGGGATACACACTGAAAAAAAATCTAAAATAATTCGGTGAGATTTGGTGTAATGTTGAAAACGGATGTCATGATTGTGCTGATATTTCGAAACAAAAATACACGGATAATTGTAATTTGGCCTCTTTTTTGGCATAAAGACATAAAACCAATACTGTATGGCAAATGTTAATTATGAGTGTACAGATTCCATTCGAGATAGCTTTTTTTTTTGTTTCTTGTGTTCGTAGACCTAGCCGCGGCCATGATGTTACATGTATGAGAGTGGCATTGCTGAAATGGACTCTTTGTTCTCCTATTTACCGGTGAATTTCTGTCATTTCAGTTTTCTTCAACTCAAAACAACTCCTACCTTTCGTGAAAAAGACATTTCAGTTATCACCATAATATCATTGGCTTCTTTCTCAGATATCCACCATGGCACAAACCATGAAACCGTATCCGGAGCCCTATCCACAGCAAAACCCACGGTATGGATACGACCAAGGACCTCAGCCCTCAACATGTCAAGCGCAGGTTTGTAAAGGGGAGTTCTATTGGGTTCCATGGGGCGATTTAAACTTATGTGTCTAGAAACTTTCTTTTTTCTAATAGCGTCTTTGCGTTGATGTGTATACAGTATGTGTGCGCGTGGAATATTGATACGAGACGCTGAAACGCATTCAATAAGGCCTCATTCAGAACAACGCAGATCAAATATGGCCGACCCACTTGAATACTTCATCATGGGGAAACTATTCAGTGTCTATTAGCGGATTAGACGGCAAGCTTTTTAGTTGGTCGCCATATTTGACCCATATACTAGTTAGTTCACTGTTCTGAATGCGGCCCAAGGTACGCTGCTGGCGGTAATAGTACTAATACGCCATGCGTTTGTAATCGACCATCATTTCGTCTATGTTTTTCCTGGGATGGTTCATTCAAGTGTACATGTATGTTCTATCATTTCCCTGTATACATTTTCATATAGCCAACTCATTTAATTATCTATTTATTTTTTCGAAAACAGTAAGATCATTCCTGCAATGCATGCACCGGGTGTTGTCTTTTTATTGAAGAAAGGAAGAAATGAAGATCTACGAACCTCCGAAAAGACAGCTTAATTCTCAATATTATTCATAATTAATTTACTTACTTATTAACAAAATTACAAAGAACTAATCATTAATTATTTATTCATCAAGTAATTAATAGGATAATCTCTCATTATTACTCATTAAATTAATTAATTAATTAAATTCTCAACAAAATCTACTCCATATCTGACCTAGCTTATTCTATGAAATTGTTAGGCAAATAATTGCAATATATGTAGTGATTTCAGTGGAGGTAGGTATTAAGTGCTCGTCAAACTAGCCGCGGCCAAATACAGCCGCGGACAGATAAAAGGCGGCATCATTGGTTCAGTGTGATATTGCTGCAATCGACACTTTGTCCTCCTACTGGCATTCCTACATGTATTATAGCATGCTTTAACACAAAAAGAAAAAAAAGCCCACATATAATTTTCAGAAAAAAAGAAGTTTCAGTTCTGTACAAAACATCCGGTTCCTTTTTGTCTCAGCCCTACGTCATGGTACCCACCCAGCAAGCGTACCCGGAAGCCTATCCCCAGCAAACCCTGCTGTATCAGTATGGGTACGGTCAAGGACCTCTACCCTCCAACAATCCAGCGCAACAAGCACAGGTGTGTATATAAGTGTTTCTCTTGGGGCGTATCAAGCGCTACCCTGAGTGTCAGAGCAACGTAAAAATTAGCTTGTAAATATTAAATATACCTTGGAGACATTTTTACTAGTATATTACTGGTATTACTGGTATTGCTGATATGGGTTATATATGAAATCAAGATCGAGCTGGCAATACCGGAATCTAGAACCTAGGGTAATCAAGCGCATGTGTTTAGACACTTAATCTACTGGCGGTAATGCACTATGCTTTCTTCATCATCGCCCTTCATTTATTGTTTTGCTGGAATTGGAAATTATATGGCCAGTCCCAGACCATAACGCACTAACTGTGGATTGATCTATCTCCGAGAGGATTCTCGCTTAATTGCAATCAACTTAAGCGACTTAGATGTCTGTCACGCCTACTGAAGTTTCTAGGAGGTAATTTATTATCGCTTAGCAGCTTCAGTAGGCGTGCCATACATCTCAGCCGCTTAAGCTGAAAGCAATTTAGCGAGAATCCCCACAGAGATGGATCGATCCTGTTAGATCGATCAAGGTATGGGAACCCAGTCATATTCTAGTATTACCGGTACACTGCTAGGATTGCACTGTATGAATTAATTTTCACCATCTTTGTTTGACCATTATATTTTAGGTTGATAAATATGAATATCTCTGATAGTACAGTAGTGCTTGGTCTTCTGTGATGTTTAACTCGTACTTTTAAAACTTGGAGACTTATTCCTAGCCGTATGACAATAGATCAGGTGACCAGTCCCTCCAGGTCATTTACCTAATGAAAGGTCTCGGGTTGAGACCGCAACGTCGGTCAGTTGTTTAATATAAGTTCCAGTAACAGAGTTGTGCACATTTATCATTCTTATTCTACCGGATGACTAATAACATTTACTCATATATATTTCAGGTGATTGTGAACCAGCCCTTTCCAGTAGTCAGCACTGTACATGTGTTTGGCCCTGCCCAGCCGAAACCGCCAAACTTCATGGCACTGTCCATCTTTGTGATTTTATGCTGCTGCTTTCCAATTGGGATAATTGCCCTTAAATATTCAAGTAATTCTTTACCTAAATATATACTTAAAAAAAAAAAGAAATGAAAACATGCCTTCTAATGGGTTTTCTAATGGGTTTTATGAAGACAAAAAGTAATCCTAAACGATTAACGATCTTATTACATGTGCATGTAGATGAGAACCAGGTGCGCTTAATTACATATAATACGTGTTTTATTATACTATAAAGATATGCGTTGTGTTTTTGGCATAGTATAAAAACAGTGTTGGCCTTGTCTACTCTCTCTCTCTCTCTCTCTCTCTCTCTCTCTCTCTCTCTCTCTCTCCTAGTACGAAAACGAAAGTTAAATGATATTAAGCTTGTGAAATACGATAGATTTTTAAAGCATCACAAGATCGTTTCATGGGACGTGCTTCTTCCTTTGATCTTTACTTTCAAAATATTTTTGTTTCTCTCTAGTGCTATCTGACAGCGTGTACTACAAGGGAGATGTAGAGGGCGCCCGGGAAAAAGCCAAGACAGCCCTAGTGATCAACATTGTTGGCATAGTGTTTGGCGTCTTAATAATCACTCTAGTCCTGGTGTTTAATATCGTTGAGGTTTATCCTTAGTATACTGTGTCACGAAGCGCCAGCAATTATACGGATTGTGAAGTTACAGGTGCTACCGTTCGCAGTTGATTTATGAGTAAGGCCTTATTTTCCTTCCTATGAGATGTTTTATTGGTAAACAACTGTTCTAAATTTATAGTCCATTTATACACAGCTTTGGGGGTCAACGAGATCCATGACACAATGGTTATCATAAATGCTCAAATAATATTTTTCTGTTATTTATTAACTATAGCACATTGTAAAACGCCACAGCTTCGATGAGTTTCTCTTATCTACCAGCATTTATATATATATATATATATATAGATCTGCTTACACATATATTTGTTGTTGTCCGTTTTCTCCGGGATTATAAATGAAAGCGAAGACAATCGTAATGGACTCCTCATAACGTGAGAATGTATAATGATTAGTCTACCCTTCTTTTTTTCTTACAATCTTTAATAACATAAATTAATTAAACCATGATTAAACTTTTGCGTATTAAAACACGATGAATATTTTCTTATATTAACACAACTGTCTTGTTTTTTCACTTTATTATTGTGCTTCATCTTTAATATTGTTAAAAACAGTTAATTGTCAAATAAATATGTAAATAAAATATAAGGATTTACCAGTTATTGTTTTAATCTGTCAACTGTAGACGAGGGCACACGACTTTTTACTTCGTTATAGGCCAAAGTATTTGAATTCCACTCTTAAGGCGCATCCAGATTCATCTTACCAGCTGGGTGGATCCGACTTTGGCCAGTGCAATCAATATGATCAGCTTAACTGTCTGACACGCATCCAGCTAAGAGGGAAGAGGACACGCAGAACAGCGGACTAGCAGATCCGCAGATCAAATATGGCCGACCCACATGAATACCTACCCTCTACCAGGGTCGCGGATTTTATTGTGGACATTTTTGGCTGAATCGACTTCAGACCAAAATGACTGTCTATTTGTATACAGACATATCTGTGGATATCTGTGGAAAATCAATATCGCCCTGGTAGAGTGTAATGAATACCTGTTGTGTAAACCCTGCGGGGAATCTATTCAGTGCCTTTTAACTTCCCAATAAATAGATATCGGATAAGAGGTGTTATAAAGGTCACGTCGAATCGTTTATCTATGGAGACATTTTAGGCATGATAATAGTTATTATTAAAATGCTACATGTACGTTCGTGTTGAAACATATACATGTAAAGTTGAGGTTTTTCTGGGTTAAACAACAGCGACAGGATTACAAATTGATCACAAAATGTATTTTTTATCCTAAAGTGGTTTAAGTGATTCATTTCATTAAAGAAAAAACTAAATTTATCCAAAAGTTGTTCTGGGAAAATGGTATTTCGATATTTTTTTGGTTTGTTTCACTTTCTATCTTTTTTTATTACCCTAAAAGTATATATTTTTTTATTACCCTAACCTCCATGATCAACCTTTTAAGGTGACAATGCATGAATGAGATTTTAAATATACAACCAGCAAGTACTGTTTTCTTTTCCTTTCTTTTCTTTTCTTTTCTTTTCTTTTCTTTTCTTTTCGAAGATTAAATAACTTAGTTATCTTTAAAAGACGCCCCAGGTATATAGTCACTGTAAAAGGGGCGATGACGTAGAGGTCACGAGATCTACACTGATGTGGGATCGGCAATCCTAAGATAACCAAAACAGCCTCGTCTCTCAGCTAAGAGCGACGCTTCTATAGAACTCGTCAAGCAGGCGACTGTTACAGGTGAGTACGCCAAGCGTTTGGCAAGTTCCTTGGCCGCCGTTATTCTCATTTTCTACTCTAACATGTATCAAAAGTAAAAAGTGACCTAGTATATCAAATGCATCTACTGTAATGGGTCAAATGCAAATAAAACGAGGGTTCAGATTCTGTCTGTTTTGCAAAGTGAAGCTGAATTACTCTGAACAATTAAGGTATAAATTTTCTCATTTATATAAGACTTGCGCTCAATATACCAAAACCAAACTTTAAAAAGGAATAATGAAAGCTGCATTGTTTAATAGGGTAGAGCCTCGTTTTTTTATTTGTTTTGCTATTTATTTTTTCATTTTCTGATAAAATAACCATTAGATTCCTACAATTCATTCTGCTTTATATGCCTTGTATTAACCGATTCGCCCACAGTCTTGGGGAAAATTTGAATTAAGTTATGGGGTTTCTATATGTGTTAATATGTGTTTATGTATAAAATACCATTTTGCTGATAAAAAACAACGAAAATCCCCTCAAAAGAAAATATAAAATGTAGGAGTCCATATTTCTCCTTGCAAAGGTTAGGGTATTTCCATACTCTCACCATTTTCGCTTTTAAGACCAACTATAGCTGTGCAAAGCGAAGAGACAGCAGGTAAGTCCCTGGCGATCGAACCCACGGAGCCATGCACAGTAGGCGAGCGCTGTACCATTCGAGCAATCCGGACCAGTAGCATCTCTTGACATTCAGATATGATTCAGAGAATTGAAATAATTAAAAAAATATCACAATTACTACAATACATATTGATGCACTTGAGTGCTCTTTTTAAAACCACTTTAAATATCTCTATTAATGATAACCAAGGGCCTGGTTTCATTGCCACTTGGTGCAGCTTTGTCTTCATTTCAATTCATAATCAACTGATGACATTTAGTCTCAACTTATCAGTATAATGATTTACTAAAATTTTCGATTGTCCTAAGATTTGACACCGGCTGCCGAGGTAGTCATCAAATTAATGTGGAGATCATGGCAGATGTAAATTTAGGGCAGAAATACCATATTTCAAAGTACAGTTCATTCTGTGAAAACAGTACAGCTTAACAAAAATAATAATTACTTTGTTTCAAAATTATTTTAAAATTATTTTTAAAATACACACAATGGAAAAAAGAAGTGTCACCCCCTGAATCAGAGTAATCAAAGTAGGCAAATTTTGAGTAGTTTTAATGCCTGGTCTACTTATAATGTGACTAATGAGTATAATACCGCTGTACCATGGAATTGCTTTTTTTTTTTTTTTTTTTTTTTTTTTGTGAAATTTGATGTTAATAAAAATTATAGCAGGAGCATATCATTCCACAGTAATTTATCTCCCCCAAAGTATTGGTTCAGTAGGGGTGACACTTCTATTTTCCATTGTGTGTATGTCCGTATAATTTTGATAATATCCTAATGAAGTTTTTCAATAGCATGCCGTATGTGTTAGTGAAAGCCAGGATAGCCATATTGCGTAATTACGGTATTTTATAAAAAAACATACGGAAGTGTACGCCTATATATCTTTAATTCGTATCTCCATAAAATCAGTATTAAGGTCGACCATATTAAGATTACATACAGTACAAGGAGATTTCAGTTGAAATAGATCACACGCGCACACATATGAATAGATAAATGAACAATAGAAGATATATTAATAAAAAATAATTAAATAACATTCACTTCTGATTTTAGTGACGCTTCAGTCCTCATATCATAGTATCACTCTCTGCCTTTCTGTTTCAGATCTGCAAAATGGCACAACCCATGACAACGTTCCCGGAGGCCTATCCACAGCAGAACCCACACTATGGGTACGACCAAGGACCTCCGCCTGCATACAATCCTGCACCGTCTGCACCTCAAACACAGGTGTGTAATGGGGTATTCCTTGGGGCGAGACGATTTTAACCGCATCTGTTCAGAAAGTTTACCTTTATCATACCTTTTATATCTTACCTTTAGATAGTATTACTCTCTGCCTTTCTGTTTCAGCTCGGCAGCATGGCACAACCCATGACAACATTCCCGGAGGCCTATCCACAGCAGAACCCACACTATGGGTACGACCAAGGACCTCCGCCTGCATACAATCCTGCACCGTCTGCACCTCAAACACAGGTGTGTAATGGGGTATTCCTTGGGGCGAGACGATTTTAAGCGCATCTGTTCGGAAACCCCAACTGAAGTTTGGAGTTGTTACGTGAAAGAAGGAGGGGTGGGGGGGGGGGCGGGTGACGCCTGGATATCAGGACTTTAAAGTACATTTATTAAAACAGGTCACTAACGTATGATTGTCACCTTCACGATTTTGATAGAATAATTACTCAAAATCTACATTTTTAGCATTGGTCTGTATGGATTTCATGAGCTTTTTTTACGCCATTATTTCGATTAGGTGGTCGTGAACCAGCCCGCTCCTGCGACAACCAACACCGTGTTCGTCACAACTCACGTCAAGCCGCCCAGCCACATGAGGCTGTCCATCCTTGTGCTGGTGCTCTTCAATCCGGTCTTGGGACTAATTGCTCTCGTATTTTCAAGTAATTTCTGCCTAAAATGTTAAAAAAGGAGAGAGAGAGAGAGAGAGAGAGAGAGAGAGAGAGAGAGAGACCCAGCGGGGAGAGAGTCATAGTGATTTTTACTACATATTCACAGATATGCCTCTGGCTAATTGATGGCGTTTTTTTTACTGTACAGAGAGCATTTATGCATGGAATTAGTTTCATCCTTAATTTATTTCATCATTCTGGCCTCTAGTATAGAGCGCTCTTTAATACCGTTTCTTTTAAATGGAATTATAATAAGCGGTATTTACATTTACATTTAATAAAAAAGAATTCGACGCCCAAACACGAATTGGTTTAAGCTCAGGGAAATTGGTCTTATTTGGTGCACACCGCTGCGCCAAATGTACTTTGATTTATGAAGAAAATCCTGTATTTAGCATTACAAATAATTAAACCATAAAATACTGCTTTATCTTCACACACACACTCACAGTGTCACATACACACACACACACACACACACACACACACACTTCACGAACACACGCGCGAACCTCAAGATATGAAGATTTCAGTCATACACACCTATAATACTAGTCACAGAGATTCACAGTAGAACGGTCGTTCGCACGTTCTTGCATTACACACAACATGATACTAAGATACGTAAATTTCTTTCTTTCTCTTTAGTTTTATCGGACAGCGACTACGGTGCCGGAAATTTGGAGGGCGCCCGGAGCAAGGGGAAGATAGCCTTGGGGCTAAACATCGCTGGCATTGTGATAACCACCATTGTGATAATCGTGGCCATAATTTGTCATTTCGTGGAAGTAGCGGAAGTTGCCAATTTAGTCTATGACGAAACCTAACTATAAACGAAAAGTTGCTTTGGCTCATATTCACAAAAGAAGATCTGTGCTTGAGGACTATTCTTTCCCTTTACGTAAAATGCCTTTATTAACGGCAAACCACTGTTCAAAAAGTTTCATGCAAGATTTTGTGAGTAAGCTACCTACATGATACTGGATGTATTGTTTATAGTCAGTATTTTATTAATATTGACTATGAACAATGTAACTAGTAAGGTGTTGATAATCAATACTTTATTAATATCGATTACAAAAAATGCAATTATGCATGTAGTATGATGTTTATTATCAATATTTTCTTAATAGTTTTTCTGTCAATCGTTCAGTGTTTTTGAGTTCCATACTCCCTGCTTGCGTGCTTATTATTATAATAACTATTATATTTTTGTTGAAATAAATTTAATTTTCCAATAACCCAAGGATTATAAAGAAATGATGAATTCTAATCAAGCACCATGGACTTAAAACTGAAATGTAGGATACTTTGTGATCACCTTACTACTTTGATGAATTGAATGTGGTGAATTACACAAAACGTACAAATGTTAAATAACACAAATTAATTAAACCAGGATTAACATTTTGAATATGAAAACATGAATCTTTTTATACATTTACACAATTGTCTTTTTTACTTTATTTTATGCAACTTGTGAAATTTGAGTCAAGCAATGTGATTACGGGTTTTAAAAAATATTTAAAATAGTAAATAGAAACATCTGGGATATTGTAAAAAATCTGTTACAATTATCAAATAAATATGTAAATAAAATATAAGGCTTCGCCAGTAATTGTTTTAATCTGTCTATACTCAGGCCTACCCAACTACCAGACTCGGCAGCAAATGATCCTACAATTCACCGGTAGATCGCACTACACTACCCGTTTTCAAGGTGTGTATCAGTACGCGCTTCGAAGTAATAGACCCATTCCCATAGATTTTAGATCGATTTATCCTTGTGGGGAGTCTCACTAGATTACTGACAGCTGAGCCGGCTTAAGCGTCTGCCCCGCCTACTAAAAGCTGTAAGGGGGTAATTAACTATGGTGCGCTCGACTGACTGCAATGTAGCGTGAACTCCCAGGGAGCTAGGTCGATCTAAATCTAAATCTCTGGATCGATCTAAATCTCTGGGAATGCCGCCTCAGACGCGACACCGCTCTTGCCTACTACGCGATGTGATAGTGATGATTCGCAAACTTCAAAGTATTGCATCACCACTCAAAATTTGTTCGAGGTATGATACTGTGAAATGCGTACTGACATTCTGTTACAGCTGTATGAGCCAAATCTGGGTATCCGTCGTAAAATACAGCCCTCTTATCATTTTTCTCCGATGGCCGAATGTCTTTTTGTATGGCCAAATCAAAACTAGAAAATAAGATATATTTGCATTGCTAACGTTAAATATATGTAGAGGTAAGAATTAAGGGTATCCTTGATTTTTGTTCAATTATTCATTCACCAGTCCCTGGAAATTTAAGTTGATCTATACAGATAAATATTTAACTCGGTCAATTGCCGGTCGACTAATTCGATTGTTCATTGTCTATCTCACCGGACCAGTCGATGAAAGATAATTATTATCCTTGATAAATGTGATCAAATACTGAAGTGCAGCTTAACCTTGCTCTTTTCTCAGCCCTAGGCCCCACTAAACACTTTATTTAACAAAAAAAGTTGTTACTGGAGACAGGAAATCGGATAAGTTCAAGCATATTCGCTGTAAAGATCAGATCATCGTTTTCAATTTTCATGAGGGGAAGGACATTCTCTTGCTTTACTAACTGTTCTACATAATTACACAAGTGTTTTGGAACAAAGACTGCTTTTTAAAATGTGTTGTTAAATTTCAGTACATTTTTGCTCATTTTTCTCTACCCCAACTTTCCTCCTAGAGTTGCTTCTTAGTAATCATTTCGCACTGCCTTAAACGAGAGAGAGGTCGTCCCATTGTGGTAAACAATTTCATTTCCAATGAAATCTTATCAACACAAGGGGTACAGCTACCGCATCTTGTTCCATGTGTTTTGACATCACTACGTAGTAAAGGAAGTAGATTATATTTCACCATGACACATCTATAAATGTGGTGCAATATCTGAGTGCCAAAGAACGGCAATCTAGTCATTGTTCCTTGTTTATACATATACATGTATGTCTGTACTACATGTAATATAAAGAGTATTATACGTGTATGACAGAGGCTCAAAAAAAAAAAAAAAAAAAAAAGCGTACATATTATACAGTGACGGCAGTGGGAATGAGACATTTAATCACTGTAACACAACGGCCCAATAAATAGATATCGGATAAGAGGTGTTATAAAGGTCACGTCGAATCGTTTATCTGTGAAGACATTTTAGGCACGATAATAGTTATTATTAAAATGCAACATGCACGTGCGTGTTGAAACATATACATGTAAAGTGGAGGTTTTTGTGGGTTTAACAGCAGCGACAGGATTACAAATTGATCACAAAATGTATTTTTTTATCCTAAAGCAGATTAAGTGATTCATTTCATTCAAGAAAAAACTAAATTTAATCAACAGCTGTTCTTGAAAAACGGTATTTCAATTTTTTTGGTTTGTTTCACTTTCCATCGACTTTACAGTCGAAATCATGTTAAAAGTCTTTTTATTACCGTAACCTCCATGACTTACCTTTTACGGTGACAATGGGATTTTTAATATACAACCAGCCAGTGCTGTTTTCTTTTCGAAGATTAAATAACTTAGTTATCTTTAAAAGATGTCCCAGGTATATAGTCGCTGTAAAAGGGGCGATGACGTAGAGGTCACGAGATCTACACTGATGTGGGATTGGCAATCCTAAGATAACCAAAACGGCCTCGTCTCTCAGCTAAGAGCGACGCTTCTATAGAACTCGTCAAACAGTCGACTGTTACAGGTGAGTGCGCCAAGCGTTTGGCAAGTTCCTTAGCCGCCGTTGTGCTCATTTTCTACTCTAACATGTATCAAAAGTAAAAAGTGACCTAGTATATCAAATGCATCTACTGTAATGGGTCAAATGCAAATAAAACGAGGGTTCAGATTCTGTCTGTTTTGCAAAGTAAAGCTGAATTACTCTTAACAATAAAGGTATAAATTTTCTCATTTATATTAGACTTGCACTCAATATACCAAAACCAAACTTTAAAAAGGAATAATGAAAGCTGCATTGCTGTAACCAGGGTAGAGCCTCGTTTTTGTTTGTTTGTTTGTTTTTTTTTTTTTTTTTTTTTTTTTTTTTTTTTTTTTTTTTTTGGTAAAACAACCACGGAAATTCCTACAAGGCACTCTCCTTTATATGCCTTTTATTAACCGATTCGCCCACAGTCTTGGGGAAAATTTTGAATTAAGTTATAGGGTTTCTATATGTGTTAATGTATAAAATACCATTTTGCTGATAAAAAACAACGAAAATCCCTTCGAAAGAAAATATTAAATGTAGGAGTCCATATTTCTCCTTGCAAAGGTTAGGGTATTTCCATACTCTCACTATTTTCGCTTTTAAGACCAACTATAGCTGTGCAAAGCGAAGAGACAGCAGGTAAGTTCCTGGGGATCGAACCCACGGCGCCATGCACAGTAGGCGAGCGCTCTGAGCCATCCGGACCAGTAGCATTTCTTGACATTCAGATATGATTCAGAGAATTCAGATAAAATAAAATATCACAATAACTACATTAAATAGTGATGCACTTGAGTGCACTTTTTAAAACCACTTTAAATATCTCTGTTAATGATAACCAAGGGCCTGGTTTCATTGCCACTTTGTGCAGATTTGTCTTCGTTTCAATTCATAAATCAGTTGATGGCATTTAGTATCAACTTTTCAGTATAATTATTTACTAAAATCTTCGATTGTCCTAAGATTTGATGCCGGCTGCCGAGGTAGTCGTCAAATAAATGTGGAGATCATGGCAGATGTAAATTTAGGGCAGAAATACCATATTTCAAAGTACAGTTCATTCTGTGAAAACAGTACAGCTTAACAAAAATAATAATTACTTTGTTTTAAAATTATTTTTGTCGTAAGAAAAAAGGAATATATCAACAATGCACTGGTTACCTTCTATGTACAAAAATCAGAGATTAAGACAATTTCTTAAAATTCTTATCAGTATCGACTCCGTTCAGCTAGCGGAATATCCGATCGTGAAAACAAAACGCTCAAGATGTTAAACCCACTATGACTTGCCTCTGGTTGTCTAGAGCATCCAACGCACGTCACGTACATCATCAAGACTCTCAACTCTTAAGTTTTTTTAAGGGGTTTGGACTTAATCATCTTCTCGCTATCCTTCATAAATGGAAATTTAGAAAATCGCTCTGCGTAAGGCGAAATGTAGCCAGGTTAATACAAGTATCACTTTAATGGAGGCGTTAAACAATAACATTGGGAAAAAGACACTGGATGCGTTCTGCCAGCGCTGGAGGGGGGTAAAAAGATTTATATCTTGTCAGCAGTTGAACGGTCAAGTGCGCATATCTGTTTCCGATAATAAAACATCAGCTGGCCAAAGTTAATGGAGAGGACTTTGGCATCAAGGAGTGTTTTTTAAGGACACATAGATATCAAAATACACACAATGGAAAATAGAAGTGTCACCCCCTGAATCAGAGTAATCAAAGTAGGCAAATTCTGAGTAGTTTTAATGGCCTGGTCTACTTATAATGTGACTAATGAGTATAAAACCGCTGTACCATGGAATTGTTTTTTTTTTTTTCGTTTTTTTTTTTTTCTTTTTTTTTTTTCGTTTTT